TAAAGGTGTGCACCACCACCACCCAGCCAATTTGCACTCTTAACCAAAGAACAATCTCTCCATCTTCTTCCCTCCCTTCTATCTTGAATATATGTGTGTATGTACATCCGTGTGGGTGAATGCAGGTGCATATGTATCTATATGTGCTTGTTTGTGTAGGCCAGAGGTCAATGTTGGATGTCTTCATTGCTTTCTACCTTACTATCTAGTGTGTGCCCTGTTTTCCTTCCTTAGTGGCACTGGAGATTGGGTCTACAGCATTATGTATGTGAGATAAGTACTCTACTACTGAGTTACAGCCTCAGCTCTTACCATACTTCTTGAGATGTATAGGCTGAGGCTGCTCATTCATTCCTGGCCACCCAGACCCAAAATAATCACACAGAAACTATATTAATTAAAACACTGCTCAGCCTATTAGCTCGGGCTTCTTATTAACTAACTCTTACATCTTAAATTAACCCATCCCTATTATTTTATATTTTACCACGAGGCTTGTGGTTTACCAGTAAGGTCCCCGGGCGGCTGTCTCCTTCAGAGGCTACATGGCGTCTCTCTGACTCCTCCTACTTTATCCCAGTGTTCAGTTTAGTTCTCCTGCCAGGAAATAGCCTAGCTCCATTTTGCCCTGCTGTAGGCCAAAGCAGCTTTATTCATTAACCAGTAAAAGCAACACATATACAGAAGGACGTCCCGCATCAGAGACAGGGTCACTCAGTAAACCTGGAGCTCATGGATTTGGCTAGGATGACTGACCAATGAGCTCCAGGGATCTGCCTGTCTCCTTAGTGCGGAGGTTACAGAAGCCTGTGTCAGACCTGTACAGGGTACAGGAATCCTAACTCAGGCCTTCATGCTTGCACAAGTGCTTCCCCTCCTGAGCCGTCTCCCAAGTCCTCCTGTTTTTCTTCATAGCACACTGTTCATGGTCACAGGCCACAATAAGGATTTCCTAAGGATCTTACCACAAGGAGAATTAAAACCTCCATAGCACTTTAGGGTAGGATGCAGAATTCAGTGTCTTCCTTGGACCTTGTCTTGTCCCTTAACTATTCTCCTGGATGTGTTTGCAAAGATATGACATGTCGTTTAGAACCATGGTTCAAGAACTCTTCCACCAGGTCTCTTCTATGGCCTTGGAATAACTCAGAGCCAAACGCTGAAGGAACTAGTCAGCTTTTCCTTTGTTGGTTGTTATGTGTTCTGTTTGCCTTTTCCCACCATCGCTCTTCTGGGTCTTTACAGGGCCCTGGATCTCAGCTGTTCTGAGGGGGTGGGGGCAAGCCTCTCTCCCCGGAGTCCCATGCTAGTCACAGTCAATGTCACAGGACAGGGCCTGCAGCACAATGAGCTTTCTGTCTTCTGGACCCCTCCTCCCCACCAGGTTCTTCGTCAGCACTGTTCTTTCCAGGGCCCAGTCTGCACTGGTTTGTGGGAAGGGTTCTTGGCTACCTCTGCCCCTGTTTCCTCCACAGCCTTTCCAGAATTAGAAACAACCTGTTGTTGGGAGGATGTGCGGAAAGGGCAGGGTTAAGAGACAAAAGTTTGAGACTAAATAGAGACCAGATTCTGGAACCATGCTCCTGATTCCAGGCAGGGCAGGGAAAGTACCAAATAGCCCGTCTTGGTCTGTTTTGCCGTGGCAACACCTACCCTTTCTTCCTCCACCCGCTCTGAGGAGCTGTGTCCAAGCCTGGAAACCAGTGGTCTGTCCTCACAGTAACCCCCGGGAAGAAAGCCCCTGATTCTTTGGTTAAGAGGCCCCCTTTGGAATGTCAAGGGTGATCTGGAAGATGGAAGACAGCTTTGGAATTTTCTCCACAGAAGTTCAGAAAGGCTATGCAGTGCTAGAGGTGCACCAGCAGCCTCAGCACAGAAACAGGCCTGCAAGTTTCTCATGACGAGTTCGGAACAGAGAAAAGCCAGAGCTAGCACTCCCACGAGAATCTGCTTTCTTTTTACGTTGGGGTGAAATTCTTAATCACTTGATTAAGTGAGGTCAAGTCTCACTTTGTAGCTTTGCAGCCTAGCTTAAGCTGTCCTGGAACTTACTATGTAGCCCAGGCTGGTCTCAAACTCAGTCAGCCTTCCTGCCTCATCCTCTTAAGTATTGGGATCACAGCCATAGGCCACAGTGCCAGCTCAGTTTGTCTTTTTGTTTTGTTTTGAGGCAGGGTCTCATGTAGTAAACACTGATCTTAAATTCACTATGTATAGTAGATGGGCAGTGATGTCACATGCCTTTAATCCCAGCACTTGGGAGGCAGAGGCTGGTGGATCTCTTGAGTTTGAAGCCAGCCAGATCTACAGAGTGAGTTCCAGGACAGTCAGGGTTACACAGAGAAACCCTATCTCCCAAAACCAAACCAAACAAACCAGAACCCCCCGTCCCCCACTGTGTATCAGACCAGGACTTGGAACTTCTGATCCTTCTGCCTCTGGCTTCCCCAGTGCTGGGATTTCAGGCATCTACCACCAGATCTAGTTTCTGTAATGCTGGAGATCAACCCCAGAGCTTGGTGCATGATAGGCAAGATCATGCCCAGCCGCAATTTACAGTTGAATTTTTTCCTTAACACTTCAGTCTTTTAAAAAATTACTCTTTTGGGGCTGGAGAAATGGTTCAGAGGTTAAGAGCATTGACTGCTCTTCCAGAGGACCTGGGTTCAATTCCCAGCACCCACATGGCAGCTCACAACTGTCTGAAAATCCAGTTCCAGGGGATCTGACACCTTCACACCAATGCACATAAAAATAAAAAAAAAATACTCTTTTGAGAGGCAAGGTCACCATCTTGAACCCCAGATTGGTGCCTAGTTCAGTTATCGTCAGAGAGCCTTCATCTAGTAACTGATGGAAACAGAGGCAGAGAACCACAACCAAACATTAGGTGGAGTCCTGAGAATCCTGCTTAAGAGCAAGAGGAAGGATCGTATGAGCCAGAAGGGTCAAAGCATACTATAAGAAAACCCACAGAATGGGGGCTGGAGAGATGACTCAGTGGTTAAGAGCATTGCCTGCTCTTCCAAAGGTCCTGAGTTCAATTCCCAGAAACCACATGGTGGTCACAACCATCTGTAATGAGATCTGGTGCCCTCTTCTGGCCTGCAGGCATACATGCAGACAGAATACTGAGACAACTGTATACATAATAAATAAATAAATCTTTTAAAAAAAACCCACAGAAACAACTAACTTGGGATCAGAGGAGCTCACAGAGACTGAGCTGACAACCAGGGAGCCTGCATGGAACTGCCCTTTGCATATATGTGACAGTTGTGTAACTTGGTCTTCTTGTGGTACTCCTAAGAATGGAAGCAGGGGCTGTCTCTGACTCTTTTTGCTGACTCTTGGGATCCTTTGCCTCATACTGGGTTGCCTTAGCCGGCCTTAATACAAGGGGAGGTGCTTAGTCTAACTACAATTTGATATGACATGTTTGGTTGATATCCGTGGGAGGCCTGTCCTTTTCTGAATGGACACAGAGAAGGAGCAGGTTGAGATGAGAGGGTGGGCAAGGTGGGGAGGGACCAGGAGAGAGGAAGGAGGGGCAGCTGTGGTCGGGAGTAAAATGAATAGGTAATTTTTAGAATTACCTTTTCTTTAAATTACTTTTATTTCATGTGTAAAGATGCTTCGCTTGCATTTGTGACTCTGTACCACATACATGACAGGTGCCCTTAGAGACCAGAGCAAGGCATCAGATCCCGTGAAGCTGAAGTCATAGACAGTAGTGAGCTGCCATGCAGCTGCTGAGAATTCAATCTGGGTCCGCCAGAGGAGCATCCAGTGCTTTTAACCAGTGAGCTAGTTCTCGCAGCCCACGTTTTAGTCCTCGATTATGCACATAAGACAGTACTACTTAATATATTCTTCTCCATGAGTTTTTTTTTTTGCGAAGTTCGGATTACAGTGTATCACTTATAAATCTTTTGCCTTTTTGATTACACCTTTCACACAGTCCTTAACAACAAGTTCATTTTAGCCGTGAAGTTGGCCTGGGGCTGAACTGGGCCAGAGGGATTTAGGAAGAAGACTGCTTATCTGCTCATTGGCTCCTCTTTAATTTTTCCCAATTCTGCAAGAAAAGCTGTGGTATCCTCATCATCCCTCTCCTTCAACATCCCATCTTCCTCACCTGCAGGAGGTCCCACTAGGCAGGCAGGCAGCAGGAGTCAAAGGGGGAAGCTGCACATTCTTGGGCTGGACAATCCCTGTTTGTTTTCCTTGCAGCAGCTTGCTCTCCAGCTCGGATGCTCTTCAGGACTTTCCATGTTTGTATTTTATCTTTGTAGGAAAGGAAAGGTCTCTACTTGAGTACTGTTCTGGAAGCTAGCTCAGATCTATCTCCTCCTTTTCCTTTTCCGCCTCTTGTTGGTCGCTGCTGAAATCTTTTATTTCAGGCTGGAATCCATCCCTGCATCTTTAGAGGCTCATTCATCCATACATCATTGAGACTTTTAGCTCACAGAAATGTCTGCAGCATTTTTAGCATTAAAAAAAATTCCCTACTCCCCCAGTGTATGGCTATCAGAGGACAATTTGCAGGAGTTGGTTCTCTCCACTATGTGAGTTCCAAAGATGGAACTCTGATTAGGTTTGGCTTAAAGTGCCTTTATCCACTGAGCCATCTTGCCAGATCTGCTTATCATTTTTAAGTGTACAACTCGGTGACATGTAATGCTGCCTGCTCCGTCTGAAAACAATCAGAACTTTGGAGTGGTTGATGAGTTTTTAATTTCGGGTGAGATGAGCTCACCAAGATGACAAACACCCATTCTGGAGTGTCCATGACATCTCAAGCACTTAGCACTCACGGATGCTTGTCGCATGACAGAATGATGCCTCCCTGGCTAACTCCTGTTGCAGCCGCAGATCACTAGGCTGGGGTGTCATCGGAAGTCGGACGCTGGTGACCCGGTAGGAGGCGCCCCACGGGCCCTGTTGTCGCTTTCGGTTTGCCCGGGTCGGGCACCTCTCTGAGAAGTCGCCCCCCCCCCCCCCCCGCCCCGCGGGCCGCCCCGCCCCGCGGCTTCCTCTAGGGCCGCGGGCACTGAGGCCGCACAGGGCAGAGGAGCAGGAGCCGGCGAGCAGGCGGTGGCGGCGGCTGCGGAGGCGATGGTGAGACGGGCAGGGGCAGAGGGCGATTGTGCAGGGGCGTGAGGTAGGAGCCCGAACCCCAGGGGTGTGGGTCACACTGGTCGCATGGGCCAGACCCAAACTTTGCAGGCACCCGGTATAAGAGACTCATAGTGCGCCCCGTCGGGGCGGAGTGAGCGGAACTTCAGCTTCCCACGCTCCTGCGGCAATACCGGGCAAGACACTTAACCTCCACAAGCTTTCTTTTCCGTGCCATAAAGTAGGGGCAGCAGCAATACCTACCTACCTTAGTAGGTCCTTGAGAGGTTAAAGGAGATGTTTATGGTTGCTGTTGCCAGGCACTCAGAACCCTTTGCTAAGAAGTAGTAGGTAATGTGATGACCTCTACAGGTCTTCCTGGGGCTCAGAGAGCCAGACCTGGCCCAAGGGTTGGAAACCTGAGTAGATGCCTGCCTGATCTAGGGCCGCTGTAGGCCGGGTGTCGAAAACCCCAGGGAAAGAGAAAATAAGTTGTCTGCTAGAAAAGTTCCATGAAATTATCAGTGTGACACAGACTGACTTTCCTAACCTCTACCTAGTGACATAATCCTGATTTGAGGCACCCATACTCCTGCTGCAGACCTGCCATTTCCAAGGTATCAGAGACCTCTGGTGCCAGGATCCCTCTCCCCTTGGGACTCCTGGAAGGATGGGCCAGACTGGAAGCAAGTTTAGTCCTCTAAGGCTGGATGGATGTGGCCTGGCTAGTGATGGCAATGCCTGGATGGCTTCGTCTCTAGGGAACGGGAGGCAGGAAAGGGAAGTGGGGCAGGAAAGTAGTCCTAAGCTTTGAGGCCACACCAGGAAACTGAGGGAGTCTCTGAGAATGGACTAGAGCTGAGAGCCCGCTTCCTAGAGTGCAGGGTAAGAGATGGGAGGAGGTAGGGGGTGGGCTCAGAGAGCCCTCAGCTCCTGGGGAGCTGAAACTAAGGTTAGCTATCTGGCTACCGGAGAACCTTGCTCACAGGTGCATTCCAGGTAAAGGGGGTTCAGAGCCAGGGGGTGGTACATTGTTTCTCCAGCCTGTCTCCAGCTCCATCAGCTAACTCTTCCTCCCTTCTTGTCCCCCTTTTTGTCTCCACCTCTTTCCCTTTGCCATCCACCCCTCTGGCTACCTAATTACCCCACCCCTTTCCCTTTCCTTCTCTTTTCTTCTCCGTGACTCACGGGGTCAGAAAGGATATAACAGTTCTTTTGTGCCACTAGCATAGGACAAAGCAGTGATTGGGACGATGGAAAGTGAGCAACCATTTTTTTGCATTGTACAAGTGTGGTGTGCATGCTTGTTCACATGTGTGGGCACGGACGTGTTTAGGTGCACATGGAAGTCAGAGGTTGATATCAGCTCTCTGAGTCAACAGCTCTCTGCTCTATTTACAGAGGCATGGGCTCTGACTGAACCCGGAGCTCTCCGGCTTGTCTAGGGTAGCTTTTCCTCGAGGTCCCTGTTCCTGCACCCTGAGCACTAGGATCCCACACAGACGGCTTGACTTTTATGTGGGTGCCCTGGAGTCAAACTAAACTTTTCATACGCGTGCAGGAGGAGCCGTATGCCTGGAGCCATCTCTCTAGAACCATAAATACGTTTTTATAAAAAGAATTGATTGTATGTGTATAAATGTTTTCCCCACGTGTGTGAATGTGCACCGTGTACGTGGAGTCCAGAGGAGGGTGTTGGATCACCTCATACTGGAGTCATAGATGACTGTGAGCTACCAGCTGGGTGCTGGGAACTGAACCCAGGTCCTCTGGAAAAGGACCAAGTGCTCTTAACCACTGAGTCAGCTCTCCAGCCCCACTATAAATAATTTTAAAAATTACTTAGCTTGCTTGTTTGTTTTTTTGGGGGACAAAGTCTCATATAGGTCAGGTTGGTGTGGCACTCACTATAAAGATGAACCACCGTGCCTGACTTGAATTAACTATTTTTTTTTTGAGACAGTCTTGCTATATAACCTTTAAACTACCTATGTAGACAAAGCTGGCTTTGAAATTGCAGCAATGTCTCCCAAGTACTGGGATTACAATTATCTGGTACCATGCCCAGCTATTGAATAATTCTTTTTGTTTATTTGTTTTTATTTTTGTTTTTTCTTGAGACAAGATCCCACTATATAGAACTCTGCCTACTGAGTTCTGGGATTAGGTCCACAACTATGCTCAGTCAAAAATAATTTCTGAAGCCATCCATCTGACAGAATCTGTGTGTGTAGTCACAGGCCTCTCGTTTGAACCCAAGCTGAGTTGGGAGCATCAAGTGGCTGGTAGTCTTGAGCCAATCAGCTGAAGCATCACACCCCCACTCTCACTGTAGCCAGTTTAGCTTTGGGTTTAGACTTGTGGCCCCTGGAGTCTGGCCATTCTACCCTCAGATCAGTTACCTAATGACTCCGGACAACTTAACACCTCTGGGCTGTAAAACAGGGATGATAACACTGTCCAGTGGGTTATTGTGAAGACTGAGCCAGATCCCCCATGCACGGCTGGTCAGTGCTGCGCAGGTTATGTACCCACTGAAAAGTGACTGTTGCTAGTGCTCAAGACTTAAGGCCTGTAACCCCAACACTCGGGGGCAGAGGCAGAAGGACCCCCCCAAGTCTCAGGCCAGGCTGTGCTGTTTATTGAGAGTCTCTTTCATTTTTTTTTTTAATTAGAATTTCTGAAAGGGCTGCAGTACGTGACGTCCTAGGTTCAATCCCCAGTACCACACAAATAAACAAGATCTCAATAGCCTGTGGGACTTGAGCAAAGGAAGCCGATGCTGGGTCAAAGCAGCAGTTCTCGAGGATCCACGGAAGGCTCCTCACTTAGAGAGGATGCATAGTGTGCAACAGGAAGACCTTGGCTGGCTATGCATCTCGTAAGGAAGGAAAGAAAAGGAAAAGGTGACTCTTTTGAGGAACATATGCCCACACCTAAGATGTCCTTACTAAGGTCCCCAACATTTCTTCATGGTGTGTGTGTGTGGGTGGGGGGACGGTGTTGACTGGGGTGGTGGCTCAGTGCTGCTCTTCCAGGGACCTGGGTTAGATTCCCACCACCCAGATGGTGGCTCACAACCACCCCTCTCCAGATGCCAAGTTCCAAAGAACCTGATTTCCTCAGGCAGGCACATGGTGCACATACAATCATGCAAGCCAAATACTCATAGATAAAAATATAATCCATCTCAAAAAATAAAACAAAACACTGGCTGCTCTTTCAGGGGACCCAGGTTTGATTCCCAGCACCCACATGACAACTAACAGCTGTCTGTAACTCCAGTTCCAGGAGGTCACACAGCCTTTTTACGGCTTCCTCGGGCACTGCATGCACTTGGTGCACAGACATACATGCATATAAAACATCCATTCACACAGAAATAAAAAAAAAAATCTTGGGGGAAAGAAGAGTGGGCAAAAGGAGCCAAGTGTGCATGATGATATACATGTAGTGAGTTCAAGGCTATCCTGGACTACATTAGACCTGGAAAGAAAAAGAAAATGGGCTGGAGAGATGCCTTATTGGTTAAGAGCAATAGCCGTCTACAGAGGACCTGAGCCCAGTCTTCAGTATTCATTTTGGGTGGTTCATATGGTCGGTGCCTGAAGAGAACAGATAGGTTGTTAGATCCGCTGGAACTGGAGTTGCAGGTGGTTGTACCCATTTCATGGGTGCTTGCAGTCAAACCAAGGTTCTCAGGAAGACCAGCCACTGCTTCTAATCACCGAGCCTTCTCTCCGGCCCCCATAGATATTTTTTAAAAATAAATCTTAGGGCTGAAGGAATGGCTCAGCGGTTAAGAGCACTGGTTGTTCTTGCAGAGGACTTGGATTTGACTCCCGGGACCCACATGGCAGCCTACAGCCATCCGTAATTCCAGTTCCATGGAAATCTGAAATCCTTTTCTGACTTTCTTGGGCACCAGGCACACATACGGTGCACCAGGCACATGCATGGCACCCACACATACTTGCAGGAAAAACATCCATTCACATAAAATAAATAAATCTAAGAAAAAATATTTTTTTAAAAAATATTTATTTATTTATTATACAATATTCTGCCTGTGTGTATGTCTGCAGGACATTACAGATGGTTTTGAGTCACCATGTGGTTGCTGGGAATTGAACTCAGGACCTTTGGAAGAGCAGGCAGTGCTCTTAACCACTGAGCCATCTCTCCAGCCCCCAGAAAAAAATCTTATGTTTAAAAAAGAAGTCTTTCATAAAAAGAAAAAGTGATGAAAAATTGGTCTCCATTAATACTAATTCGTTATTTATTTAGCGTTTAGTGTGGGTCAGGTATTGTTTAGGCTTTTGTTTATAATATATCCCACAGTCTGAGTCGGTGTGATGAGCTCTGTGGGGTAAGCGCTGTTACCACCACTTTACGAAAGAGGAAGTAGTTGGTCAGAAAGGTCATCCTCAGGTTAATCAGCTGGTAAGTGGCAGAGCCAGGTAGAATTTGAGGCCAGGGAGGCAACACATCTTGTTCTTGAGATAGGGTCCTTCTGTCTTCCAGGCCCTCAGCAATGAGGTTATAAGTACTCACCAATACACATGGTTTTTACATGGGTATGAGCTAGCAGGCTCTGGGAATTTTCCTCTACCACGTCACATGCTCTGCCTCTTCTCCTTGTGCTAGGGTTATGTACACGCGTGGCCACACCCTACTTCTTGTTTTTAAGAGGCAGAGGCAGGGAGATATCTGTGAGTTCAAGCAGCCTAGTTGGTCTATAGATTGAATTCCATGCCAACCAGAGGTATTTAAAACGAAACAAAATGGGGTGGAGCGGGGCGGGGCGGGGCAGGAGGACGTGTTCAATGAGAGATCGAAGGTCTGAAGCTCTCCGCAAGTGCATGCGTGCATGTGTGCGTGCATGCGTGCGTGCGTGTGTGTGTGTGTGTGTGTGTGTTTTCCTGCTCTAGCACTCTCTACTACATCCCCTTGAGACAAAGACTTTTACCAAATCTGGAGCCAGAATGGCAGCCCGTAAAACCAATGATCCTCTCTCTTTGCTCATTACCAGAGCTGGGGGTATTGAGATGTGCAGCCATAACTGGCTTTTTACATGGGTGCTTGGGATCCAAACTCAGGATCAAGCACTTTTACCCACTGAGCCGTCTCCCAGCCTACACACCTCCAGCCTCCGCCTCAAGACGGTCTTGTGTTGTCTGGGCCAAAGATGACCTTGAATTTCCAATTCTCTTGCCTCTGCCTCTGGAACGTTGGGATTGCAGGTGTGTGTCATGCCTAATGCTTTTGTTTTGTTTTCGAGACAGATCACACTACATAGCCTAGGCTGGCCTGGGACTGGAGAGTCCCCAGTTATGCATGCCACCACACCTGACTTGGTTGGGTTTTGTAACTTCCTCCACACTGGTTTCCACCCCTTGACTTTTGCTGCTTTCCCTAGCCCCGCCCAGCCTCTCCACCCTCTGCCAAGTCCCTTCACTAGTGGGCTGTGTCCCTGTCTCTGCCAGAATGACCCAGCTCCATTCCAGCACCTGCCCTTTTGATTACAATTCTGACCCTTGTAATCTCCTTACTCCATGGGTGACTACGACACTTTATGTCTCCGTGTGTAACTTTACCCTTCTGTGATGGCACCGCATGTTTCTTTTCCTCAGCTAGGAAAAGCTCTTCCTGAAAACAGGTACAGTTCATCCAGAAAAGATCTGTCGTGTGTCTGCCAGCTGCCAGGCCCTTGGCTGAGTGACAAATGGCACAGGGCAGCACGGCCCTTGCCCTCTGTTTACTCAGCTCTTCCCTGACACTTTTCCTAGCAATTTATCTTTGTGCATACTGCGAGCAGAGACCTGTGCATACAGTTAGGGTCCTTTTATCTTTGGTTGAGGGGACCAAAGTGGGCTGGGATTTGGTGGCTGTGTTCCCTGGAACATACGTATCCTTTTGGGTCTGGAGCCCATCTTGGCTCCCCATAGGCAGTAGGCCTGGCTTTGCTGTAAAGGAGAAAGGCTGTAGCTGGAGCACAGCCAGCTCTCCATAGAAAGTGAGCCTGTTCACCCTTTGTATGGGAATAAGATAACAACAGCTATAGACTCCGGAACAGAAGAACAGAGCTGGGGATGTAGTTCAGCGGGCAGTGCTTGCCTGAGCATGAACGAAGCCCCGGTTCGTCACATACACTGGGCATGGTAGAGCACATTCGTCCTGGTACTGGGAAGTGAGACTAAAGGAGCAGAAGTACAAGGTCATTTTTGGCTGTGTAGTGTGTTGGAGGCCAACCTGGGCTAAGCAAGACCTTGTCAAAAGATGAGAAAAGAGAAAAGATAAAGAAAGGGGAAGATGCTGGGGCTGTGGCTCCGTAGTTAACAACACCTGTCACTGGTGCGTGAGCGTTGGTAAGGCTTTCTGGTGACCAGACTCTTGCAGGTTCAGCGGAGTAAGATAGACGGTGACAGAGCAGGACACTGGCATCATCCTCTGGCCTCTGGGTGCATTGCAAGTAGGTGTACTAGCAAAACCACTAACAATACACTCATATGCTACACAGAGTGGGGGACAGACAGACAGACAGACAGACAGACAGGGGCCGTGAAATGCCTCAGCGGGCGAAGCGCTTTCCACACAAGCCTGCTGACCGGAGTTCAAACCCCGGAATCCATGGGAAAGTGGACAAGTTGTCCTTTGACCTCCACATCTGTGTCCCCTTACAATCATAAAGACAAAAATACCCCCAGCATCCCACCAAACGGTGATTCTCGTTTTCAAATTCTGTCCATTCCCAAATCTGTGCTTTGGACTGCTGGGATGTGGGGAGGTTGGGACAATGGAGCCTTGTCCAACAGTACAGTAGTCACGGCGGGGATGACACGTGACTCAGGAGTGGGAAGAAGCATGCGTCCCCTGTTTTCTTCACTGCTGCCTTGGGTTCCAGCCTCTGAGCACCTTCTGCCTCCTTAGTTTGCCTGCACCACTCTTAAAAACAAGCTGTTTTTCTGGCTCTTGGGTAAATATTGACCTGTTGGGGTTTCAGGTGCCTGTCCCTCGAAACTCCTGCTGAGCTAGATAAGCAAATCAGGAGAACCTCTCTTGAGACTAAGGGTTCCTTTTGGATAGGCAATCAAGCAACCGGGCCCTTTACTGGTGATCAGCATTGTGTCAGCCTCCCAGACTTATGGACGCCAGAGGATGGACTAGGATGCTGCCCCCTGCTCCCCTCTGGGAGCCTGTGACCTAGCTGTGGAGAGAGGACTCATGTCCTGGGAACGCTCTGGAGCTGTGTGCAGGGGGGCAGCTGTCATGATCCTGTGGAGGAGGGAAGCCTCTGTGACTACCAGGTCTCTCCCAACGTTCTCTGGTTTTAAGTGGAATTCTGTCAAATGCCAAAGTGTCTGCTGCTGTGAACAATGGGGGATATGGGCTGGCAGGAAGGGGTGGGGGTTGATGCTCTGTGAAAAGGAGATAGATTAGGGATGGGCTGGGAAGGACTAGGCTAAGGGCAGGGAGTTTCCCGTGGTTTGCTAATCCTCTGGTATTTGCCTTCCTGACAAATCTGCTCATGGTCTCAGCACGTGGCATTTAGAGACAGCAGGGCTTTTGCCCCTCTCCCTTCTCTCCCTCTTTTCCTTACACACACACACACATACACACACACATTGAAATGTGTGACCTTCTCATCTCCAAAACAAACTGGGTTTCTTGGTTAGGTGAAGCAGTGCTGCCCGGGTTCAGAAGCCAAAGATTGTCACTTGGATTCCAGTGAAGCCCTGGCTGAGTAGAAGGCTGGAGGCCAAAGACCAGAGGGTCTCAGATTCCCAGGAGGAGAGGAAATAGAAGGTGGTCAGTGAGGTGAAGAGCAGGTTAGCTCAGAGGCAGAACTGGCCTGACTGGTCAGCGGTCCAAAGAGGCAGAGATGAGCTGCTCAGTTGGGGAGGGGTTGTAGGCAGAGATGCTGATGTGGCCTGGTCTCAAATGACCTTTCTCGTCCTGTGGAGTGGATTTTTTTTTTCTTGCCTGGCTTCTTGCTTTTTGCCACTACTTGGGGTCAGTGGGAAACCATAGGACAGATGAACACTGGGTTAGATGCCACCTTGGAGCAGATGAACAAAGCATCTGCTTTGTGGGAAGGTGGAGACCCGGGAAGTTCCCAGTTTGAGCTAACATAGAAGAAGCCGAGATACTGAAATCCAGAGCGGATGGACAAGGAGCCCGGAGGTCAACCGCTCAGAAGGCAGTCCTTTAACCTGAATAGCTCATGCCTTTACACACAAAGGATGCTGTTACTCATCTGCCATACCCAGACATTGTAGGGGAGCGGGGAGTTCAGGCCTTTTGTGCCAGGAGGAAGGCTCCTGGGTGGGGAACTCTTGCATCCTTGACCTTGGGCTTGGTGCTCAGGCAGGGAAAGAATTGGAGCGATGCCAGCAGCAGGCAGATGAAGTGACGGAAATCATGCTCGACAATTGCCAAAAGGTCATGGAGCGGGATGGCAAGCTGGCAGAACTGGAGCAGCGCTCAGACAAGCTCCTGGACATGGTGTGTGGCCCCGGGGAGTTTGGACGGGACAGAAGTTTGACCCTTAGAGAGCTCTTAGGCTGTGGTGGGGAGGCTAGAGGTGGGGTCTGGGACTGCTGGTTTCCTACTAGAGGATTTTACAAAGATACACTTGGGTTGGGGCTATAGCTCAGCTGATAGAGTGCTTAGCTAGAATGTGTGGCCCTGCACTCCCTCCCCACCATGGCGTGAAACACAGCAGTGTACACCTGTGATGCCAGCACTCAAGGAATCCGGAGGACCAGGGGCTCATTCTCAGTCACACAGTAAGTCCAAGCCAGAGCTACAGGAGACCCTGTCTTACACACAAAAATAAACAAATAGACCTAAGAAGTCTTTGGAGCTGTGTGCATTCCTAGCGGTCAGGGCTAAGTGGGTGTGAGCTAGCAGGGTCGAGAGTCAAGTGTTACAGCAGTGTTTGAGGTCAGGAGCCAGGTTGGAAGGGCTCCAGAGTGCAGTGAGTGGAGGGGCAGCAAACAGGATAGGGAGGATGCTGGCATGCAGATGGAGAGTCGCCTTTGAGGTCCTGTGGAACCATTAACTCTCTTTCTCTCGGTGTCTCTGGGTATCCACAGAGTTTGGCCTTCAGCAAGACAACCAATAATCTAGCCCAAAAGAAGCGCTGGGAGAACATCCGGTGCCGGGTCTACTTGGGGCTGGCAGTGGCTGGTGGCCTACTCATCATCCTGATTGTGCTGCTGGTCACCTTTCTTCCGACGAGCGATGGGGACAGTAGCCAACCATAGGACTTGGATGCAGGAACTGCCTTACGAACTGGGAACTGACCCGGCCAGGCCTGGAGGAGAGGCCGAATGACTGCACAGGCCTGTTCTGGTCTCCAGGGAATCCTGGTGTTTGTGGCTGTCTAGGCCAGCCCACTGAGTGCCGAAGGGCATCCTGGATGTGTGCACCTCTGCATCTCCCGTTATGTCATAGACTGGCCCTTGAGGGCAGCCTGCTGCACTGGCCTTACTAAGCTGCACCGCTGGAGCTGAGTAAAAGCTGCTGTTTGGTTAAAAGTGCTCTCTCTCTCTCTCTCTCTCTCTCTCTCTCTCTTTCACACACACCACACAGACACAGAAATATAACAGACACACATACACCACAGACACAGATGTGTACATACATATTCCAGACATAGAAATACCACACACACACACACACACACACATACACACACACATCCCACAGTCTCAGAAACATACTACATACTATATACACACACACATATATATACTAAATTAATGTAATTTTAAAAAGAAAATCTGTTTCCTAAAGGACTATATTTCAGGAGATACTCCCTTCCTTTCCTCTCTTCCTTGATCTTGCCCTTCACAGATAGACCTTTATGTAATATGGAGACACAGACATAGCAGCCCACAAAACAGACCTTTGAAAATGAAATCCATCATTTCTGATATCTTGAGGGTTGTCAGAGGACCAATGGGACTCTAGATGGAAGAAATGAGAAGAAGGGGCTTGCTGGGAATCCAGCTCAATTTTTAGAGTGCTTTCCTAGTATGAACAAAGTCCTGGGTTTGATGGTGGCACATACATCTATAGTCCCAGCACTCAGGAGGTAGAGGTAGGAAGATTACAATGTCAGGATCATTTTTGGCTACAGTTAGTTTAATGTCAGTCTGGACTATATGAGAGCCTGCCTCAAAAGCAAAAAGGTGACTGCAGAGATGGCTCAGTGGTTAAGAAGGCATACTACTCATGCAGAAAACCCACATTTGCAAGTTCAGTTCCCATCTCCCAAGTCAGGCACTTCATAACTACCTGTATGTCCAGCTTCAGGGAGAACATCCTCTGTGGGCACCTGCATTTAAGTGTACACACACACACACACACACACACACACACACACACACACACTTTAAGCAAACAGAAAGCATGCCGAGAGATAATTCTATAAAGTGTTTCCCTTAAAAACACAGGGACCTGAGTTACATCTCCAGAACCCCTTTTAAAAAGCCAGGTGTATAGTCCAATGTGATAGCATTAACCTTGATCTAAGCACTGGGGAAGTAGGGACAGGTAGATCTCTGTGAGACTGATAGCCTGATCTACACAGTGAGACTTTCTCTCATCACATAAACAAGCAAACAATAAACAATATGGTGGCCTTGTACATCCAGAACCTGGAAGGTAGAGACAGTCAAATCCCTGGGGAATCGCCAACCCCCAGCCTAGCCTAATCGGTGAGCTTCAAGCCAATAAGAGATGCTGTTTCAAAAAATAATGTAAGCAGTTGAGCGGTGGAGGTGCACTCAGAAGGCAGAGACAGGCGGATTTATGTGAGTTCAAGGCCTGTTTAGTCTACAGAGCGAGTTCCAGGACAGGCCTCAAAGCTACAGAAAAACCCTGTCTTGAAAAAGAAAACAACAACAACAAAACAAACAAACAGAACCAATCTGAACTGGTGAGTAAAGCCTGTGGAGTTGGGGGCTGGAGAGATGGTTCAGCAGTTGAGAGCACTGACTGCTTCCAGAGGACTTGGGGTTCAATTCCCAGAACTCACATGGCAGCTCACAACTGTCTTGTAACTCCAAGATCCTCACACAGATATACATGCAGGCAAAACACCAATGTACATAAAAATAAGTAAATTATTTTTTAAAAAAAGACTGTGGCATTGTAGCTGGTCTGGTATGTTGGTGCACGTCTTGAAGCCCAGCTCTTGGAAGGCAGAGGAAGGCAGATCTCTGTGAGTTTCAGGCCAGCCTGGTCTACAGGGTGAGTTCCAGGACAGCCAGGGCTACACAGAGAAACTCTGTTTGAAAAAACAAAACACGTTAATAACAATGCTTTATCACCGCAGTTTCTCAGCTCCAGCTAACCAGCATGAATTGTCCTAGTAGAGCTAAGATTCACCTCAGTGGTGCCAGTCTCTTGTTAATCACCCCTGGTCTTCAGCCCCAGCTGACCGGAGACTCAGACTCGTTTTTGCTTGTTTGTTTGTTTGTTTGTTTGTTTGTTTTTGAGATAGGATTTCTCTGGTTATCCCTTGCTGTTCTGGAACTTGCTCTGTAGATCAGGCTGAACTTGAACTCACAGAGATCTGCCTGCTTCTGCCTCCAGAGTACTAGGATTAAAGATGTGTGCCACTACCACCTAGCTAAGCCACAGATTCTTAATTCAAATATATCTCACAAACAGCCCTGGCAGAGTCTTTAAGGGACTCTTGGTGTGGGAGGTCCTTCTGTCTATGTGTTGCTTTTCTTGGTTAATAAATAAAGAAACTGCCTTGGCCTGTTGATAGGGCAGCACTTAGGTAGGCGGGGAGATGGAACTGAATGGTGGGAGAAAGAAGGGCAGAGTCAGAGACGCTGTGGATCCGCTGCCAGAGATAGACATGCTGGAACTTCGCTGGTAAGCCATGACCTCGTGGTGATACACAGATTAATGGAGATGGGTTAAATTAATATGTAAGTGTTAGCCAATAAGAAGTTAGAGCTAATGGGTGAAGCAGTGATTTAATTAATATAGTTTCTGTGTGGTTATTTTGGTTCTGGGCAGCTGGGACTAACAAGTGATTCCCTGCAACAGACTCTCAAACTTGCCTCTGAAATGTCTTTAAGCCAGGCCTTCATTAGTTGCATGGCTGTCAGCATTATTTTCCAAGTTCCCACAAGTTCATTAAGTTCCAAGACTTTAACAACTTTTCCAGCCCAATGTTCCAACTTCCTTACCAATCTTCCCAGATAATATGTTCAGATCTGTCATAGAAATACCCAAGTCCTAGTGCCAACTTCTGTCTTGTTTGATTCTATTTATTTATTTATTTATTTATTTATTTATTTGGTTTTTTTTGAGACAAGATTTATTCATGTAGTCCTAGCTGTCCAGGTATTTGCTCAGTAGACCAGGCTGGTCTCAAACTCACAAGAGATCCCCCTGCCTCTTGGTGCTGGGATCTTCCTGAGTGCTGGGATTAAAGGCATGTGTCACCACTGTCTGGCAGTGTTTGCTTTCTATTGCGATAAAACACTATGACCAAAAACAACTTGTTGAGAAAAGGGTTTATTTCAACTTATAATTGTAGTCCATTATGAAGGGAAGTCAGGACAGAAAATCAGGGCAGGAACTGAGGCAAAAACTGAAGCAGAGGCTATGGAGGAACCCTGCTGACTGCTTTCTCAGCCTGCTTCCTTATTTTTTTTATAATATTTATTTATTACGTATACAATATTCTGTCTGTGTGTATGCCTGAAGGTCAGAAGAGGGCACCAGACCTCATTACAGATGGTTGTGAGCCGCCATGTGGTTGCTGGGAATTGAACTCTGGACCTTTGGAAGAGCAGCCAGTGCTCTTAACCTCTGAGTGAGTAGGTCAGCAACACTCACTTTGGGTAAGCCACTTCTGGGACTCAGATTTCATTTATATAAAAGGGCACAGAAGTAATGGGGGTACAGCTCTATGGTAGGGCAGGTGCTTAGCAGGCTCTGCAGTTAAGCCCCCACGAGAAAAAAGAAAAGCAGAAGGTACCTCACTACAGTATCAGACAATTACAGTGATCAGATATGGGTTTTTGTTTTGTGTCTCTCCTTTTATCCTGTTTTTTAAATTTTTATTTATTTTTATTTTTGTGCATTGTTGCTTTTGTCTGTATGTATGTCTGTGAAAAGGTGTCAAATCTTAGAGTTGCAGACAGTTGTTAGCGGCCATGTGGGTACTGGGAATTGAACCCAGGTTTTCTGGAAGAGTGGTTAGTGCTCTTAACCGCTGAGCACCTTCATCATCTCTTCAGTGCCTCCCCCCTACCCCAACCTTCCAACTTATCCTGTTTAAGACAGGATCTTACTACATAACCATAACCATGTCTTGAATTTGCAATCCTCTGGCTGTCACTTTTTTGGTCTGGTTTGGTTTAGTTTTTCGAGACAGGGTTTTACTGTGGCTGTACTGGAACTTGCTTTGTAGACCAGGCTGGTCTCGAACTCACAGAGATATGCCTGCCTCTGCAGCTCTTTTTAAAGGATTTATTTTTATAACTATTTGTATGTGTTTCTGCCAGTTGAATGTAGGTATGGTAGAGAAGGGAGACAGAGGGGTTATCTGGAACTAGTGTTGCAGGAGGTTGTAAATTGACCGATTTGAGTTCCTAACCATACATGGTTTTGTCTTTCTTCCTTTTTCTTTTTCAAGTAAAGTCTTTTTTTTTTTTTTTTAAGATTTATTTATTATGTGTACAACATTTCTTCCATGTGTGCCCACATGCCAGAAGGGGGCGCCATGTCTCATTATAGATGGTTGTGAGCCACCATGTGGTTGCTGGGAATTGAACTCAGGATCTCTGGAAGAGCGGTCAGTGCTCTTACCACTGAGCCATCTCTCCAGCCCCTTCGTCTTTCTTTGTTTGTTTGTTTTTTACTTGTATTGACTGAGACAGGGTCACACTTTGTAGCCCTGTTTGGCCTCACACTCACAGAAATCCGCCTGCCTCTGACTTCTGAGTTTTGGGGTTAAAGGTATGCAGCACCATGTACTTTTTTTTTTTTTAATGTTTGTGTATGGGTGTTTTGCTGCCGTTCTGTCTGTCCGTCCTTGCGTGCCTGGTGCCCGCAGAATGTCGGACCCTTGTAAACTGTCTTACAGATGGTTGAGCGCCGCCTGTGGGTGCTGGGACTAGAACCTGGGTCAGCTGAGCTATCTCTCCAGTCCTTCCACCACTTATTTTTATGTCCAGATCATCACAAATGCGTGGGAATTATCCTCTCGAGGAGTAAGGCGGGGCATGACGGTAAACTCAACCAACGAGACTCAAAACGACTTCCGGCTTGCATTTCCACTCGTGGAACACGGTGAGGGCCCTCGGGGCGTGACGCCGTAAAGACTCCGGAATTCCCCCGTTCTCCAACTCTATTGGCTTTAACCTCTGGTCACCTGACTCTCTCGACCAACGAGAGGCGACTGAATCAGTACTTCCGCCTCTGTGTGCGTCTAGCGAACCACTGTGCCCACCCCACGAGTACTCTGATTGGTTGCTCTCTCGAAGCCCGCTTGCTTATTGGCCAGGACGGGATCCGGCTATCCAGCGGCAACCTAGAGCTGTGTCAGACAAGCCTAGCAACCCGGCAGCCATGGCGTCTTATTTTGATGAGCACGACTGCGAGCCGTTGAACCCTGATCGCGAGGCCCGCAACAACATGTTGCTGGAGCTCGCGAGGAGAGTGCGCGGGGCTTGGAGCTGGGCCCCGGGTAGCAGGTTTCTAGACTGGGGCTTGGCGGAGAGGGCGGGTAACCTGGGAGATGGGATGAATAATATGAAATGTTAATCTGGACAACGCGTAGTCGGGAGTCATTAATTTGGGCCATTAATGAGCAGGACTCGCTAGGGGATCGTGGGAAGGACTGAGCTGGAAAGGGTAGGAGTTGCAGAGGGAGACACCGGAGAAGATTGTCACGGGGGAGCGGACACGACCTGTGCCTGTGTGCGTAAATTGGGTAGTATTCTAGCAGTAAGCTGGCACAGAAGCTCACTGCCGTCCCAGAATCAATTTGGCGTTACCCGGTCATTCCTGAACGACTTACTTGAGACCGCTACTTCGTGTTAAATGTGAATGAACAGCGAGCTAGAGTTGTCTGGTCACACTGCTGTGTTGGTGTTTTTCTTGTGTTGTGTTTTGAGACAGTCTCACTATGTATCCCTAACTGGCCTGGAACTTAATACCTAGAAAAGGCTAGCCTCGAACTCACAGCCTCCCAAGTATTGTGGGAGGCTTCGTCCCGCCACCACCCTGCCTTTATTTTTTATTTTCCTGAGCTGCTATTGCGAACTGGTCCTTATTAGCTAGGGCAGGTGTTTTTGTCTGTTAATGTTTAGGGGGTTATGGGGACCAAAAATGTGTGGTTTCCTTAGTTGTGGCATTACCCCCTCTTCCTCAGATCACTCTTTAATAGGATGGACTTTGAGGACTTGGGACTGGTAGACTGGGAACACCACCTGCCTCCACCAGCTGCCAAGGCCGTGGTAGAGAGCCTCCCCAGAACGGTCATCGGTAGCGCCAAGGCTGGTGAGGATACAAGGTCTTCTTTTCTGTTTAGGGCAGATAAGCCAGACCTGCCATCTCCCTCAAGCCACCGCAATCTGGCCTGTTAGTTTTCTAGGCCAAGTCTGGGTCTGAGTGGGAGGCTGGGGTGGGGCCTTAACAGTTCTCCTGATCAGCACATCCTCTTCAAGAGCTCAAGTGCCCTGTGTGCCTTTTGGAATTTGAGGAGGAGGAAACTGTCATTGAGATGCCCTGCCATCACCTCTTCCATTCCAACTGCATTCTGCCCTGGCTGAGTAAGGTACTTCATCCAGCCCTTACCCTGCCCTGATACCAATTCCTAAACTTCAGTTTTGGTTATGAACTGAGAAGGGAATTAAGGAAGGGTGAGAGCAGGGGTGGGAATCAGGAGCAGGAAAGGGCTAGAATACTGTTCTGATTTTTCTAGACAAATTCCTGCCCCCTGTGCCGCCATGAGCTGCCCACTGATGATGACAGTTACGAAGAGCACAAGAAAGACAAGGTAGGGGCTGGTGATTTTGTAAAGGGCTACAGTGGGCTTGGTCACCCGTCCCTCCACCTCCGCATGCTTGGACAGGTCTCTTGACTACTTCATGTTGGCTCTCTTCCAAGTCAATTTAGTAAGGGGCAAAGGCCTTAGCATTGCTGATGCTAGGAACCTGAAAACAGGCTCCATGGCAGCTGTTCTGTGGCCCTATCCATCAGGATTCATGCCTGGCCTTGCCCAGCCTGTTGTCTTTCTTCCAGGCTCGGCGGCAGCAGCAGCAGCACCGCCTGGAGAACCTCCATGGAGCCATGTACACGTGAGGCAGCATTAGGGCTGTGAGCTCGGCCTCTGTGACATCTATGTCCTTTTGCACTTTGAGTCTTCATTAAAGGTTTCTTTACCCACTCTGCAGGTGCACTGCTCACACGCCCGAGCAGGGGCTCTGCATCCTCAGCCCTGCTGCTAATGAGAAAAATGGCAAAGGTGTCAAATGGTAGAAGGTGCCAGGCTGCATTTCCCTTTCTGCTGGCCTCTAGACTCTGGGTGGTGGGGCCCTGGTAGCAGCCAGGGCTTGGGTCTGAGTGTTCTTGGTTAGAAGACTGTGTCAGGGCCTGGCACTTTGTAGCTTTTTAAAACTGATAAACTAACTTGCACCACCCCCTTCCGGAAGAATCTAGTTAACCTTGGAACCTTTAGTTAACATTGGAATCCTGGGGGTGTTCTTTAGTTCCACTGAGAAAACTTTTTAACATTGTAAACTCTGTATTCTGTCCCTGTAGGCCCCGGGTATCAAGGAATCAAAGTTCAAGCCAGACTGGGCAGGGAAAGAAATGAGACTACAAAGCCAAGCCAGGTCTTTAGCTTGTTTAGACTCATAAAGGGGGCCAAGGTTTTGAGAGTGGGTTTCTATGTGACCCTGGCTGGCTTGGAACTCACTGTATAGACCAGGCTGATCCTGGTCTACACAGAACTTAGGAGATCCTCCTGCCTCTACCTCCTAGCTCCCCATGCTGGGATTACTGGTATGTACCACCATACCCAGACCCTTCTGATGTATTTAGATGGCACCTGTCACTTAGTTACTGGCAACCCTCAAGAATCTTTCATAGTTACTGGCAACCCTCAAGAATCTTTCTGGGATGAAAGGGCTTCTTCTCATCCCTACCTACTGGATCAGACCCTCCCTGATTCTCCAGAACAGACTGCAAACATGCAAATTAGAATTCTTTTAATAGATATAAAAAAGTACTAAAATACTCATGTGGTTCTGCTGTGTTATTTGCCCTAAAGGAAGTGAGGGGCAGAGTGAAGAACCCAAATGCAGCTGGGTGGGCCTTCCCTTAGGCTAAGGCATGCTCTCCCATCATCCAGACTTAATGGGCCCCGCTGCCCCAGCCCCCAATTCCTGCAACAGGAAACCCCAGTGGTCTGGCTCTGGCACTGGGAGTAGAAGGCACCTGAAGGGCTGGCAGGGCAAGTGAGGACAGGTGACCTTTAACTCAAAATACTACTCTGGTATGGGGTAACAGGACATGGAGCAGAGCAGCTGGCGAGACCACGCTCCTCTATGGCACAGGTGGATGTTGGATGGCCACTTCTCCAAGAGTGAGGAAGCCTAGATCCCAACAATACTCTAAAAATTGTTTTTGGTACAAAAGAAATGCAAAGAAGGTAGAGGGTGTGGGTACCGCGGAGGCTGGGCCAGCCACCCTCCAGACTCAGATCATGGCAATACTCTCGGGAGCACAGTTGAGGTGGGTAGAGGTGCTGCTGCTCCCGGAGGACTTACAGGCCCTGCCAGGGGCGGGCTGCAGGGCAGCTACCAGTGTGCCTGAGGAGACTGTCCCAAACTCATAGCTAAAGGTGCCATAGAAAATGAGGATATCCAGGACAAACACCCATTCACACAGGGCAGCCCCATGCTGCAGCTGAGAGCTCTCGTGGAAGAAGAAGACTCCACCTGGAGTAGGGTTAAGGAAAGGTTCAATGGGATGTCTGGACTTGGCAACATCTGCTTGGCCATCCCATATATTTAAGTGTGCTGAGGTAAAGGCTCAGACCTCATAAGGAGACTACTAGGGTAATGGTCACTAGGCTCAAGATCCCACTCCTACCCCCCGACTTGGGTGGGAGAAGGGTTGAGCTAGGGGGATGAGGTCCTGGCTACCCTGTCCCAGAAGGATACTAAGGACCAGGGTGATGAAGGCGATGACAGCTAGCACACTTCGCAAGTGGGCCATAGCCAGGTCCAGGGCGGTGGTGGCCCCATGGTAGAAGAGAACACATTGCAGGCACACAAAGAGCAGCCCAGCAAGGAGGGCCACACCGGCTCCGACGTAGTGTAGAGACTTGGCATGGTCCACCTGGCTCAGACAGGGGCTAATCCATGAAGTAGCCCCACCTCTCTTCCCCATCCATCGCTTCTCTTTCCCTCCTCACCCCCTCCCTTCCTGGATCAGCCTCCAGGTGCTGCCCGTGCAAGCAGCTAGACCCTATTAAGGGGAGGTGGGGAGGAGGCACCTGAAAGTTGCCCACCACCACAAGGCCCGCAGCATTGGTGCAGCCTGTGATGAGTGCTGTGGTGTTAATCCAGGAGTGCCGGTTCTGCTCCAGGAGCTGCCCATAGCGAAGGAGGCAGATCAGGGCCACTAGGGGAAGACAGTAATGCTGTGGCCAGTTCCCTGCCCTCCTCCAACCTTCCCAGCCTGCCCTCCTCCAACCTTCCCAGCCTGCCCTCCTCCAACCTTCCCAGCCTGCCCTCCAGCCTCTTGCTGAGAGCTACAAGGTTGTGTACAAGTAGGTAGGACTGTTTTTGTGTCCTTTCCCCCTCCCCCCAGTGCCAGGCTTTTATCCAGGGCAGCTAAGATTAGTTAGCATCTGGCCTTCAATGAACAGGAGAGAAGTTGCCCCCTCACCAGCTCTTGGTGATGGAGCAGGCTGATCAGAGTAAACATTTCTGGGTTTTTCTAGAGATGAGGGTAGGGGCGTGATAGTATCACTCACCCATAAAAGCACCCACGTTGCCAATGAGGCTGAAGAGGCAGCTCTCTGGGGGATATGTTCCAGACTTGCTGAGGGGAGGGGTGAGGACAGTGAGGCAGGAGTACCCATGGCCCTCCTACACCCCGAGGGGGCTTTATCTGTACTTGGTCCTTCAGCAGGCCAGCCTCTGATTTAAATAGAGCTCAAGTGTAAGAGAGATAAAGAGGTGTCCCAGAGTGCCTGGCAGATCTGAGACTCCTTGCTGAGGCCTGCAGCTGCTCTAAATCTCCTTGAACTTGTTTTGGGCACTCAGAAGTGCTGACCTTAAATCCAGGTACTTTCATTGGCTAGCTGTATGACCTGAATGAGTGAGTATCTCCAAGCTTCTGTTTCCACATCAGAAGTGGTGAAAAGCCTTAGGCTTTGAAGATGGATGGAAAGGCACTACTGGCATATAAAACTCAGCAGAATGCCCAGTCCTGGAAATAGCAAGTAGTGCATTTATTTCTTTGAAACACGGTCTTACATTGCTCAGGCTGGCCAAAAACTAGCAGGGATGACCCTGAATTTCTGATCCTCTTGCCTTACTCTCCAAAGTGCTGGGATTGTGGGCATGTGCTACCACATCTAGTTTTATGTGGTGCTAGCTTTTGTGGATGCCAGGCAGGCATTCTGCCAACTGGGCTACATATTCACACCCAGGCTCCCTTGTCTCTGTTCTTCCCTGAAACAGGGTCTCAGGTAGCACAGGCAGGTCTTGAATTCATCTTCCTACTTCCTAAGTGCTAGGACTATAGCCCTTTGCCACTAGCCTTGGTAATATTACTTGGCTAAGTGTGTTTCTTCTTGAGATCCAGAGACCATCCTTTGCTTGAGGGTGTTTCTGGAAGTGCGGAGGGACCTAGAGTCTGCCCAGTTTCCAGGACCTACCTGATGAGAGGAACGTCGTCAAGGGTGCAGCAGGTCTTAGGGCCCCCTTGTTCAGTGGGGTCAGGAGAGCAGGACTCGTTGTAGGACCTGGCAGGTAGGACACAGGGTAGACTGGGAAGGGGTATCTCAAAACCTTGGCCTATAGCCTTAGGCTTTGAAGAGAAATCGTTCAGACCTCCCAGGGCCTTTCTGGAACATAAGTAAAGAGGATGAAGGGATGATGGGAAGTGGGTGGCTAGACAGGATGTCAGAGAACAGCAGTGAGGTCTAGGCCTCCATGTGGCTTGTGGGCTCAAAGAGGGACAGAGATGAAGGGAACTTGAGAGTGAGGCCATCTGCAGAGTGTTCCATACCAGTTTTCCACTGGGCACACGTGGCGGTTCATCACGGCCATGGCATACCTGTGGAAGCAGAACTGTCACCCTGTCCCCATGGTTCTTCAGGCCCAGGCACCCCCTACTGGCTCTTTGACTTCTGGTCTAATTCAGCCTCACTGTCCTTGCTGTCATTTGGTGGGGTGAGGAGGTAGGTACTGATGCTATAGCAGACCCTGCAGAATTGCCTCTAACCAAAGACCCTCTGGAGGTTGTCTTGCCTAGAAGTATATGTCGGAGCTGTCTTGCTGGACTGCAGTGGTGCCAGCTTGTCTCATGAGGCTGTGTGCCCAGGAATTAGGCCAAGCTTTGGAGACAGAGTGACCCTGGGTACCCACCATTCTGGAGCCTGGTCAACTGACTTTTTATGTGCCATCAAGTTCCTGTTAGAGCCCTCCTCGACCCACACCCCTCTTACTTACACTGTCCATATGCCCGTGATGGAGAATGCTGACAGGCTGACAGGAAGGAGGATCCAGGCGGTCATGAGGGAGTGGAGCCAGGGTGGTGGTGGTTTGGGGGTAAGGACAACAGGTAGGTGGGGAAGAGGGGGCAGGCCCAGCTACCTTGAGATATTTCAGCCACAATCATCAGCTGCCCTGGCCTGGTGGGGGAGAGAGATCAAGGTCCAGGGTCTGGTGACTAGCCAGGGCGGGGGAGAGGGAGGGGGAGGGTAGGCAGCACTTCACCCAGAGGTCTCCCTGGGCTTTCGAGCGTCCAGATTTTGGGCTGAGCCCCAGCCGGAACGTGGCACCCTCTGGCTATCCATCTGGGGCCTCCGCGATCTACTCAAATGCCACCGGCGCGCTGAGACCCTCGGGCAGGGCTGTAACATCTGGAAAGAGAGCCACGCTCCCCGGCCTGAGGGACACCGGCTCGGTGAAGGCTGGAGCTAGGACAATCAAGGGGATCATGCCAAGGAAAGCCTGGAAGGGTTCGCCCGGCCGAGAAAGCGGCTGCGAGGCGTTGGCGTGCGGACAAACCACCTGACCACCGCGCCCCGGCAAAGGGGCGGGTTCTCGAGGGAAACCCGACCGGGTCTCGCTCGGGTAGGCACAGGGACCCCAGCTTGGGTAGGAATCCGCAGCCAGCGACAACTCCCCTCCCTCCAGAGCCCGGCTCCCCAAGGCGAACCCTTGGTGGCCGAGAAAGAAAAGAAGTCCAGTACGCACCTCCCCGGAGCGCCCCGCCGCCGCCGCTCCCTGCTCGGCCCCCTCGTGGCTGCGTCTCCAGCTGCGGCCCTCGGAGCAGCCCTGAAAGGTTTAAAGGGCCGAGCGGCCCCGCCCCTGGC